CATCAATTAGCTCAAACGATGTTAATCCTCCATTTTTTTTTTGTATTTTTTTTTACTTTAAACAAACAAAAAATTTTTAATAAACATGAATTCAAAAAAGCATAGAAAAGAAATGTGTTACGTTTTGTTTCGCTTAAATTTTCGCTTCAAAGCCTCACTCTCATTTATGATTTATAGTTTGATCTTATTGCTTAGATAGCATTATAAATCAAATCTAATCCATGATAAAAATCCGATAGAAATGAATTCGAATGGTAAAATAATTCTCCAAAAAAAAACCATGACAACTAATTGCAACCAATTTTCTGTTGAAAAGGATGATTAGATCATAATAAAAATCCATTAATGGTTTTCCATTCAATCCATTCATTTATGAGGAAAGAGATTAAGGAATGATTTTTTTGTTTCTTCTGCTTTCTTTAAAAAAAAGTACAACAAAAAAACATCAAAAATTAAGGATCATAAAATTAAGATTTAGAGAAAGATTTAATCATTTCTCCAGTGATTTTCTTTGGAATTTTTACTGTCGTGGTTTGTTATTTTAAAAATCATTTTGTTTCCCCACTGAATTTTTTCACTGACGAATGAAAGAATGAGTGAAAAATCATCATCTAATCAACTAACCGGTAACGAATCAATGACAACATTTCCGTTGGAAGGTGCCGAAATTAAAGATTCATCATATATATTGATACAAGGTCTTTCCATTGCTGCTGGTAGGTTTTTTAAAATTATCTTTTTGGATCAGGATTTTTTTTGCTTTACTTTACTTTTTTATCTTTTTTTTGTGATGTGGTTTTTTTTCCTGTCGAACAGGAAGTTTCGGTCAAATATATCTAACACGTAATGTTAAAACAAATGAAATTTGTGCCACAAAATTAGTACGTAAAGATAATCCAAATGCAAAATTACGTAAAGAATATGAATGGTATCGTATATTGGGTAGGTATCATTTTTTTCCATTATTTTTCCATTGTTTTTCGGTAAAAGAAAAATTCATTCACCTATCATTGATTGTTGAGATTCTTTTAATTAATTAACTTTTTGTTTTTTTTTCTTTGACAAAAAAAAGGACCATTACCTGGATTACCAAAAGTATATCATTTTGGTGAATGTGGACCATATTATGCAATGGTTATGGAATTATTAGGACCAAATTTAGAACAATTAATGGTTGCAAATAATTCTAGATTTAGTCTTCGTACAACAACACAGATTGCAATAATGATATTGGAAATAATGCGTTCAGTACATTCGAAAAAAATAATATTCTGTAATGTTAAACCGGAAAATTTTTGTCTTGGCCGTCCGAATACGGCCAAATCTAATCAGGTTTATATGGTCGGTTTGATTAATGCAAAATTATTTGAAACAGCCGATTCAAAACATATACCGAAAATATCGGCAAACGATACTGAACAAGAACCGAAAAAATTCGGTGTATACGGTACACCACGTTATATGAGTTTACATGCACATAAAGGTAAAGAATTAAGTCGTCGTGATGATCTTGAATCAATTGGTTATATGTTATTATATTTTTTACATGGAAAATTACCATGGCAAGGTTTACCAATTAATAATTCAACAAGTAATAATAATAGTGAAAAATATGAAAATATTTTTATAACAAAAAAAATGATACATTTAGATGAATTATGTGCTAATCTACCACCAGAATATTATCATTATATGCTTTATGTACGTAGTTTAAAATTTGCACAAGAACCAAATTATCGTTATTTAATAACAATGTTTACAAAATTATTATATCGTATTAATATGGATCAATCACGTTTAGTATCACCATCATTAATGAATGATATGGCTATTACATTTGATGAACAATTATCATCATTAAATAATAATAATAATAATAACAGCAATAATAATAAAAATGAATCATCATCATCATCGAAAAAGCAAGTTTCATTCAAAATGGATCATGAAACTTTGGAATGATAATTTATTGAAATTCAAATTCATAATTTTACAATTTTTTAAAAAACAATAACAGAATATTCCAGACAAAAAAAATTTTAAAAATAAAATCAATCTCTTGGATGAATTAATTTTTGTAAATTTTTTACAACAAAATCATTAATACTTGCATAAAAATTATAAAGTTGATTAATTGATAAACATAATGAATATAATGTATCACATTCAATTTCATAATGATAATTTTGATAATCATTTAATTGTGGATAAAGTAGACAATAATTTAATGATGATTGTCTTCGATTATAATATGATTGAAATAATGTTAATTGTTCACAACAAGATTGATGAATATTGCCAACAAATATCATTGCTTTTGTTTGTACATGTACACCAAAATTATGACCATCCTGTATTTGTGGTGATAATGTTTCTAATGCAAAATTTATTCTTGTTGTTAAATCAATCAATTCGATTATATATGGTTTAAGTTGTTCAATTAATTCATTTATTTGTTCATTTGTTTCAATCATTGTAATTGTTTTATTATTATTGTTATTATTTGATTCGTTTAAACAAAATAAAAATGGTTTATATTCACCATTTTGAATGCAGATCGGTTGATGATGTTGATCATTTTTTTGTTTGATTGTCATCAATTGATTGACAATCATATTTGATATCGATTTAATATCATTTCTTTTCAATGTTAAAATCATTTTCCAATCAAATTTTTTTCGTAATTTATCAATTTGTTCAATTTTCTTTGGAAATTCATTCAATACAATGGATAAAATTTTTGTTGTCATTTGTTCACATTGTTCATTTGCTTCTTCCATAATCATATTGATTTTTGTTTCGTCATTTTTATCGGCATTCATAATTCGAATGGAATTTTTTTTTGGAAAAAAAACAACTAAAATTTCCCAAAATAACCAAAGTTTCTTTTCTCTTATAAATTTATTTTAAAACAAGAAAAATTATAAAAATTCTTTTATAAAATTAACAAAAAATTATATAAAAATTGGTCGTAAATGTAATTTGTAATAATAACTATTGGAATATTTGTAACGTTTTCGCAGTTCTGTGAAGTATTTCTTTTTTTATAATGAAAAAAAAATGTCAAAATAACATTCATTCAAATAATTATTGAAATCATTTTTTTTGTTGGTTTTTCTTTTACCATTTTAATTATATCACGCAAAAATAACTTTATTTACTCATCATCACGTTGATGATGATTATGAACTAAAGTTTTTTATTTTTATTTTTGTGGTAAAGTTTTGATTTGATTTGATTGACAAGTACCCGACCAACATTGACAAAGAAATTGAATAAATTTTTCAGGATTTTCATGGTAACGATCCACTTCAACTTGTTCCCAATTTTCATTTAATGTTGATGATGATGATGATGATGTTTGCATAATAGATTTTTCAAATGCTTGTTGTAAAATTAAATCAAGTAATTCAATTTCATGATGAATATAATTATCATTTGATTCTTTGATTACTGATAAATTACTTTTGACAATATCCAAACTGGTTTGATTGATTGAATGAATGAAATATTTGTTTCGGTAAGCCAAAAGATTTGAATGTGAAACGAGTAGAAAGAAAAAAAAAATATTTGAATTAGAAAAAATGAATTGAAAATCAAATACCAAATACCTTTCCATTCCAATCAAATGTGTGTCGATACGTTTTTCAAGTAATGAATATCTAATTGCTAATCGAGTTAATGGAATTGATCCATTTGCCTGATAGCAATTTTGCAACCAAAAAGATTATTATTTGTAATTAATAATGAAAAAAACAAACACGAAACAAACTTACCATACAAATTTTCCGTGCAAGTTGACAACGATTTTTAATTTTTTCCGATGCTGGATGCCATTTTGGAATTTCAGTAGAATTATCATTAGCTAATAATCCCATACCGAATATAGCTGCATTTATAATTCCAATATTTTTTGACTGAAACGAATAACAAAAAAAAAGATTTTCAAATGAAAACTTGTGACTTTTTTTCGGTGCAAAAAAAGTTGAAGAAAAATGATAAAAATTTAAATACATTACCTTAAAATAATCCAAATAATTAATTAGTTCATTATCCCAAAGTGAATAACGACAATAACTAAGTATGACATTAATTTGTATTGAACTTTTTTCCAAAATTTCTCTGTAAATGTAAAACAAAACAAAAAAATTATTACAAAACTTTACCAAATGAATATTGTAGTGAAATTAAATATCATCATACCTAATCAATGATAATGGATAACCAGAAATACCTATATAACGAATTTTTCCCAACAAACGTAATCGTTCTAATTCGGGTAATGTTTCATTTAATAGCATTTCTATACTTGGACAAAATTCTACATCATGAACATATAAAATATCAATATAATCAACATTCAATGTTTTTAAACTATTATCAATTGATTTTACAATAGCTTTACGGCTATAATCAAATGTACAATCAGAATGTCGTCCAACTTTTGTTGACAAATAATATGATTTACGTGGAATTTTTTTCAATGCCTTTAGAATTTGGAAAAATAAAAAAAAATTAATGATCAAAAGTTCAAGACCAATTTGAAGTATTTTTTTGTTGTTGTTACTACCTGACCAACAATAATTTGAGATAATCCCATTCCATAGAATGGTGATGTATCAACTAGATTAATACCGAGACGTATTGCTTCACAAATTGTATCAATAACTGCTTCTCGTTGTTTGATGATATTACAATCTATCATTGTTGTTGTTTGTTGATTTTTATCATCATTAATAATCGATAATGAACAATTACGGCCAACATGTGCAGCACCAAAACTAATCAATGAAACATACATATCAGTATGGCCAAGACGATTATATTGAATTTTTTGGATCGATTCTAAATCTGACCATCCTTCTACAAAAGTTGGTGGATACATTTTCTGGTTTTGTTGTTGTTGTCGTTGGAAACTACGAAACAAAATCTATACTTCTTAACATTATTCATTCAACCATCAACACGATTCAATGATAATCAGCTGATTTATTTTACGACTCTTCTCTTCTTCTTCAAAAAATGGATTGATATTATCAACGAAAAAAAAAATTGCTTTCTTTTAATTTTTCAATTTATTCACATCTATAATCTTATTTTGAATATAGAAAAAAAAATAAATAATTTTTAAAAATTATTATGAAAATAATTATAATTTTAATAATAAAATGCCTAAATGAGTTTTTTTTATATATAAAGAAAAAGCCAGAAAAGATAACAGATTTTTCATATTTTTTTTAAAAAAAGAGAATATACAGAAAAGAAATTTAAATAAAATAAAATAATGAACATCTTTTGATTGTGTGTGTGTGTGTTTATGTGTAAGAATTATTTTAGCAAAAATATTTACGAATTAATTATTATTTTTTTCTTTAAATAAATGTTTGTGTATATTTTATATATAAATTAAAAACCTTGATGTCTTTTTTTTTTATTTGATTTGATAAGAAAATGGCATTTTTTTGGATTGATAATTTTACAATAATATAAATTCGACATCGATGTCGTTCTAATAATTGTTTTTTGATTGACTAAAAATTGCAATTTTTCGTCTGGAATGAATAACTATAAAGTTGAAGGAATGATGAAGTTCAGAGTTTACCGTTAAAGGTTATTTTGTAGCAAACATCATTATCGTTATTTATCACAGACTACCCGGAAATATGAGAATTTTTTTTTCTTGAATAAAAAGTAACCTAATCATAATCATAAATTTCATCATCATTATCATCGTCAACAGTTTCGGCTGAATATTTGATACTAATCTTATCGCCAATTTCGTTCATCACATTTAATGAACGATCTAGCATATCTTTGGTATGGGCAGCTGATATACAGAAACGAACTCTTCCGGTCGTTAATGGTGTGGCAGGATAACCAGCACCAATAAATCCAAGACCTTTATCATGGGCCATACGGATTACGGCTCTGAAAAAAAATTTTTCGATGAGAAAATTATAAATTTTAACGATAAAATAAAACTTACGCAATTTTTGAACAAAAACAAAGCAATAACGGTACAACAGGTGAATCATCGTGGCCATAAACAATAAAACCCAATTGACGTAATTTTTTCCGGAAATATCGTGAATTATGTGCTAATTTTTGTATACGCTTTCGGCCATCATCGGTACCATCTTCACCTGATAATGATTGCACTACACAGCTAATTTGCATAGCAATCGGTACCGACATTGGATTAGCATAATAATGGCTAAATGAATTTATCCGTATCAAATTGACAAGATCACGACTACCGGCTACATAACCACCCGCAGCACCGAAACTTTTTGTAAATGTTCCCATCAATATATCAACATCGGATGGATCGCATCCAAAGTAATCGATTACACCACGTGCATTTGGTCCAAGTGCACCGATCGAATGCGCTTCATCCAGATAAATATAGCATTTATATTGCTTTTTGATACGTATCAATTCGGGTAAATTTACGATTGTTCCTTCCATTGAATATATTCCTTCAACAACAATAATAATCTTATTCCATGGTTCACCCGTTTTTGGTTGACCTTCAACAATATATCTACGAATTTCATGTTCCAAATCCTTCATATCTATGCACAGAAAAAAATGAATAATTACCTTGTCAAAATCAAATAAAACTTACTATTATGCTTAAATTTACGTATAGTTGCACCCGAAAGACGACAACCTAAAATTAATGATGCATGATTATTAGAATCACTCATAATTAGGCATCCCCGGCCAACAAAACATTGTATATTGGTTGAATTTGTTGCAAAACCCATTCCAAACACAACACACGCTTCGACACCTAAAAATCTTGCCATTAATTGTTCCAGATGTTTAACATGTTCATTATGACCCAATTCATTACGTGTTGAACATATGCCAACACCATTATCGTAAATTGTTTTGATAACTTTTTCATGTATTGGTCCACTATTTTCAGCATAACCAAGATAATTATATGATCCCATATTGATTACACGAGATTTTGTTCCAGGATACCTAAAAATATAGAAAGAAATTGATCAGTAATTAGCTGTGATTAGCATTACTAATTTTCATTACTCAAATGTCCAATTTTCATCCGATGAATAGCGATCAACAACATCGATTTCAGCACCGGGTACACTTGCAATTGGTCGATTCCATGCATCTCTTATACGACGATAAATATTACGAGTATAAAATGATTCAAAACTTTTATATAAAGATGTATATCCCTTATTGAATAATATAAAGGTGAAAGAAAGATTAGAATTTAAACAAAATCAAATAAATTTTTTACCTCACGATCACGTTCAACTGCAGATAAATTTTTTTCTAATCCAGTTTTACGCATAAAATCACGAATATAACCAAATAATATAAGCACAGCATAACTAATATAACAAAGAAAGGCGATATGATATGGCGGTTGTTCATAACGATTAAAACGATTATCAGGTGTTGATTTTATTTTCAATTTTGAATTATCTGTTGCCGTTGTCGCTGTTGAACAATAATATGATATTGATGAATGTTTGAAGCCATTTTTTTCAGTCGGATATTTTTTTAAAATGCCATTTTTTGTTGTACCATTAACAAATGGATAATTTGATTTTTTAAGTGAAGACAATTGCAGTTTAGGGCAGTGTTGTTGAGTATCATTATTATCATCATCATCATCAACAACAACAGGCAGACAACCATTATTACCGAAAACAATGAATCCGTTTCCACCATTCGATTGTTTGACTTTATCATTATCATCAGCATTGTGATGTATTCCATTGGAAATTTTTTCATTTTCATGATGACAAAAACCATTTTTTTTACCACCATTTATTTGATGATTTAGCTGACCATTCAAATAATTTTGATCAAAAGATGATTTAATTGTATGATCATTATGATGGTTATGATGATGATATCCATTGGTCATCATTATTGTTGAATTTTTTATTTGTATCATTGCTTGATTTTCATAATTATTCATTTTACCACCACCATTTAATCGATGTTGATTGCCATTTAAAAACTATAAATTTTAAATTATTTTGATTAGAATTATCTTTACTGATAAAGTAAATATTGATATATCAACGTTGTTTTTGATTACAAAAATAAAAAAAACAACAATCAAATTATATGTACTTTGAGTGCAAATATCATTTGATTGATGAATGTTGTTGTTTTTTTTCAAATAATTCCTAATGTCCTCTACTATTTACATGAAATAAATAATTTGTTTCCGTGAAATTTTTTTTCGCGCTGAAAATAGAAATGTGATTCAACAACAACAAAAAACGACGACCAATAAATTTAATCTCCTCATTCATCATCATCATAATCGAAAACATCCGGAAGAGAAAAGTCACATATCAAGATTGAATGAAAATAAAATTTGGACAATAAAAAAATTTTAACAATTTTTTTCCTCCGGAAATAGGCCATTCACTCAGTAGAGTCAAATGACCAATTTAATTTCCTACGGAAATTTTTGCATAAAATTTTCACAACCTAAAATGATTTGAACATTCACACTATTTTTTTTTTCTTCTCAATCTACAATTATTTGTTTTTAAAGAAATGATAAGGAAAAAATTTCTCATCTAAAACAAAATATAATGCAATTTACCAATTTGGTGTAGATTGATAGTGAAGATATTCGTAATCGATTCGAATACATACACATGAAAAAAAGTCGATATACAAAACTTTAAATTTCAAATGTGCTACACACACACATACATACGAAATAAATAGATAGAGAAAAATGATATTTCAAACAAAGAAACTTTGAAATGACTTTTCAGTTTTTTTTTTTTTTTGTTTGAATATATTTCAGTACCAATATATATAAGATAATGTATTATCATCATCACGCAAGGACTCAATTTTTTAAAAAATTTATTTTTGTTTGAAAACCAAACCCTAAAACAACGGTAATAATAAAAAATGATTGTAAATAGATCATGGGTAACCAAGTCAACACAAATGATGATGATGATCAATCAACAAATATTAAACTTTCTCCCCTCTCTCTCTCTTTTTATTTCACAAACACTAACTATAGATGAAATTAAGAACACCAAATTATCGATATAGGTAATTTTAAAATGAAAAAGAGGAGCAAAAAAAAAATAGTAGAGAAAAGAAATTAGACTTACCTCATTTTTATCGTTATTAATAGCTAAATTATGATGAGAAAATGGAATGAATTTTTTTACATTGGAATGTTTTAAATTATAAGATGGATTATAATAATCATCATCATTATTATCATTTTCATTATAATCATTGAAATGATTCATAACAATTTTGGTTTTTGTTGCAATTTGTATTGACGAATCATTCATATGATTATCATTATCATTATTCAATGAAATTGATTGATCTAATAAGATTTCATTATCTGGTCCCATTATTATTGATCGAAATTATTCTAATAATATCAATCAAGCTCTTTTGTTGTTGTTGTTCGTGATTGGCCTAAATTTTGTTTGTCGTTTAATTTTTTTTTCGGAAGGTTAATTGATCAAATCGATGATTGATTTTTGTTTGTTCGTTCGTTTATTTGTTTTGAATATTGATTGATTGATCGATAAAAAGAAATTCTGAAGTTAATGTTGTTGATGATATGAATGATGAATTGGAATTGATAATATTCACAACCTCAATGAACAAAAATGAATGATTATTGTTGAAAATAAAATTTTCTATCAAATTCACTATGTAACGATAATTTTTTTTCGGTTAATATCAGGCTTCAACAATTGCATTATTATCATATTATTATCGTCTTATTTGTGTTTGACATTTGTTTTTCAATGCACAAGAAAAATAAAATAAAATTCATGAAAATATATTGCACTGATTCATATATTTTTCTTCAAATTACAATCTTGATGTGCCTGGATACAATTATCCAATTTTGATTGAAATTAATGATGATTGCTATTGATGACAATGATGATAAATAACATTTAAATAATCATTATCAATGCCATATGCTAAGCGTGTGTCAATATAATCATCAAATAAATATTGATTTTCAACAATATTATCATCATATCAATGACCCAAGGATAATTTACAGATATAAAATGGAATGATGACGATGATGGTGATGATTTAAAAATAACTTGAACAACAACAAGAATAAAAACAGAATCACAGAAACAATTAAATAATGATGATGATAATGATGATGATGATCAGTCTAAAATCAATCTACAGAGTTATATAATGATAATGATTTGAATGAAACAGCATAAAAAAACTAATTAATTATCAAATTAAACTAAAAGAAAAAAAGTTAACAGACCAATATTTTGTTTGTTCTTGTCATCATGATAATCATAATGCCGCGATACGATGATGATGATTGGCCACGCGGTTGCGTTGATAAATAATATGATGATGATTTGATGTTTTCTTATAATCCAGTGTATATTATGTAAAGCCGAAACCGCGAGTATTACGTATACGAAGATGGTTATATGATGATGAAGACTAAAAGAAAACGAGCTAATGATAAAGTTACCGTCGTCTTATTGTTGTTTTTCATTTTGGTTGTTTGGATTTCAGATATTCGGCCGCTCCCACATTAATTTACAAACACACACAAACACATACAACAACGAATACAATATACACGCATGTATGGATACAACTTCTACCACAATTTTTGTTCGGCATTTTTTTCCGATGATCATCATTGATGGCTGGTTAGAGAAAACCAATAACAAAAACGAAAATAAAAAACAGAAGAAAAATAAGATGAGAATGAGAACATGAAAAGGAAAAGAAAAGAAAAGAAATCCCGAAATTATATTTTCAAAATTGCATCTCTTACCTTTATCAAATTGAAAAATATTTGATTAATTTCATTTTTTTGGGGGGATTTCAATCACCAATCAGGTTGTAATCAGGTTGATTGATTGATTGATCAATTGAAATTCGTAAAACAAAATAAACAAAACAAACAAACAAATATTCGAACGGATTTTCGCCGAATGATGAAATCGAACGAAGAGTATTTTGTTCGAAAAAAAAAGAATATTCGAAAAAAAATAGAATCATGACTATTTAGGTTAAAATAGGTGAATTCTATTTTTACAGAATATTCTTTTGTTTATATTCGAATTGTCAAAAAATTTGAATGATGTTTTTTTTCCATCATCATTTGACAAATGAATTGTTTTATTTTTTTCGGCTAAAAACAATGGATATTTAATGGTTTTGCTATTACCATATATTCTTTAACCAACAAATTCTAGTCATGAAATCAGAAGATGATCAACAATGTAATAATCATGGTTATAATGGTTCAAATTCCATTTTTAAAGGTATGAAAAAAAAGAATGATAATCTCGATAATTAGGTTGACAAATGAAACGATTTTCGTCAAACATTGTTTTGTTTTTTTTAATTATAGCCAATAAATTGACAAGAAAACGTGTAATGAGACGAAAAAATGCCGTCAGACGTATTCATCAAATACATGATGAATTTTCCGTCATTAATAATTTCAATTATCATCATCATCAACATAATAATCAAAATCAATTGAATGTTGGAAATTTCAACCAAATTGTTTTGGCCAATAATTTACCAAATGATAATGATAATTTAGAATTTGGTAATAATGATAATGATCATAATAATGGTGATTCATCGAAATTATTTTCAACAAAAATAAATCGAAATGTATCATTATTAAAAATGATTATATTTACAACAAATCCTACTTATCATCGAATATATTCTACTGTTAAACAGACATTTATTTGGGAAAATTTTCTTAAAAAATATTCAAATTTTTCTAGTCATAATCATGCTAATCAAAATGTATCAATCAATCGTCAACTTCAATCAACATCATCAATGATTAATAATAATAATTTTATTAATCAAATTACGAATAATCAACCATCATCATCATCATCATCATTCATTGATCGTTTATTATTTGAAGATGAACAACAATTTAAACAACAACAACAATATGGTTCAGTAAAGAATATACCAAAAACAATATCATTAGGATTAAATGTTGTATTTGATATAATCAAAGATACATATGAACAAAATCCAATGATTTGTATACGATCATTAGAATCACTTTATAATTTATTACAATGTTTAAAACCGGAAAGTTTACGAAATGAACCACCATCAATGATTGAACGATATTTTTCATTAATTGAAACAATGATAAAATTGTCCTATTCATCAATATTTAATAATTGTTCATTAACAACAAATTCCATACGTTTGAATGAAAATTATTATCAACAAATTTTAGAATTATCATTATTATCATTAATAACATTATCGATTGCAAGTGGTGATACTGGTAAAATATTGAATTGTATTAAAATATTACTTATTGAATGTAATAATAATTCGATTGTTGTTCAACAACAACAACAACAACATCATGATCATCATCAACATCATCATCGTAATCATTATCATCAACAACAACAACAACAACAACAATCGACGACAACAACAACAACAACAAATGCACAATCCGGATTTGAAATTGAAATACCCGAAATAATGATATTACTTAATAAACATACATGTTCATATTTATTGGGTAAATATATTGTACCTGAATGGTCTTATTTAGGTTTTTCAAAACAATCATTATGTGAATCATTCCATATTAATCATGTTTATCATCATCATCATCATCATCATAATCAAAAAAATTTAAAACATAAAAATTGTTCAAAATCATCATTAACATTTGATGGACAAAATTTAATATTATTACGTTGTAATCATATATTTATTATTGGTTCTGGTTATAATTGTACTAATCAAGGACAGGAATTATATTCATCATCATTGGACATATCGAATTATTCGAAATCGATACAAAATGAATTTTCAATCATTAATCAAACAATATGCGATGAACAACAACAACAACAACAAACAAATGATAATGAATATTGTCATCATGATGTTGATGGTGGTGGTAATGGTGGCTGGATTGGTTATATTGATGGTGATCTATATGTTCAACCAGATTCCGATTGGTCAACCAATCAAATCATACAAATTGATTCACGTTCATTAAAATTTAAAAATATTATCAAATTATTCAATGATGATAAAAATGATGATGAACAACAACAGCCAAAAACATCATCATTATCAAATAATCATTATCAACAATTTAAACAATCAACATTAGCTACAACCGATGGTGATTATCTAATATTGATTTCAGTGATTCAAGATGATTATTTTCATGTACGTGAATTCAAACCGATTAAATTAACAAATTTTGATTTATCCAAACAACAACAACAACAACATACTAATAATAATAATAGTACAATATTAAATGAATCAAATACATTTACTATTTCATCCGAATTTACTGTTCGTTTATCATCGATTTGTTATTCATATTGTGGCCATTCTGTTCATAATAATTTTATGATTCCATATCAAAATTCTAACGTAAACGTAAAACAACAACAACAACAACAACAACAGAGAATAATGAAAAAAACATTGAATGAATCATTATTGAAATTAATCGAAACAAATAATTATTTTGAATTGAAAAATTTATCCACATTAGTTACTGGAAAAGATTTTGCATTACTTTTAACAAATCAGGGAAAAGTATTTTATACAGGTAATTCACATAGTCTTGGTATAAGACATTTTTATTCATATAATAAATGGTCATTATTGAATCTACCAAAACCGGTAAAAATTCAACAAATTGCTATCGGTCATGATGGTAATCATTCATTATTATTGGCTGATGATGGTACAATATTTTTTGTTGGTATATCAAAACGAGGTGAAGATGGTGATGATCAATCAACACGATCAACTGTTTATCGTTTTAATAATAAACCTAATCGTGTGAAAAAATTTCAAGCAAAAATTGATTCCAATCCAGCATTTATTGCTTGTAATCATGGTACAAGTGCAATCATTACAAAATCTGGTGATCTTTATCTTTTTGGTAAAGATTCACAATATTCAAATTCAAAAGGTTTGGTTACAAATCTACCAAAAGATTTTAAAGTTAAATCAATTGTATTGGGTAAAGCACATATGTTAATATTATCAACAAAAGGATTGGTTGTAACAAGTGGATTTTCTAACAAAGGTCAATGTGGTTTTATTAATAATCATAATAATCAATCAACATCATTTCATTCACAAACAATAAAATCAAAAATATCAAAATCATCGAATGAAAATTCATCATTGAAAACAAGTCTTGATTCAAAATTATCAAAAATTTCTGGCCATCATACATTTATTTATGGAAAATGTCGTCGTTGTATACGATGTTCAAATTGTACTGAAAATGGTACAAAATGTAAATCATCATTATCAATAATCAATGATGATGATAGTATGCAGAATAATAAAGAATTCTGTATCTGTTGTGGTTATGGTAATAGTGGATGTATTAATTGTGGTATATGTTCAACATGTTCACAAACATATTCAATTTGTTCGAAAAAAATTAATGCTGATGATGATGATGATGATGATGAAAATGAACAACATTTAACCAAATCATCAAAAAGTTTATGGAGTTCAACAAAATTAAATAATTTAGAATTTATTGATCCAGATATTGATTGTTCAACAAAAATGATGATGACATCAATATCACCAACAATATTACCATTAAGTTTAACTAATCATATTGTACAAATTTCAGCCGGTCTACATCATTCAATATTGTTGACCGATAAAAATGAAGTTTTTACATTCGGTTCAAATCAATTTGGACAATTAGGTGTTGGTGATCTGGAAAATCGATTTCAACCAACAAAAATTGATTTAGAATTTGTTTGCAAAGGATATATTAAACAAATTGCTGCTGGTTCTAATCATTCAATATTGTTAACATCATTAGGTGAAGTAATAACATTTGGTAATAATCAACAAGGACAACTTGGTCGTCGACCATATGAATTTTGTCAACTAAATACATTTCAATGGAATACATTTCCTGATCGTATGGATTGTATTGGACCAGAATTTGGACGAATAGCAACACAAATATCTGCATCAGGTGATTTTACCTTTATTCGTTATGATGAAATTCTACTTAGTTCAGAAATGTTTGCCAAATCAAAATTATTGGCTGAAAAAAATAATCTTATATTAATACCACCAAATTGTTCATCAAATCATGATAATACAGTTGTTGATAATGATGATGATGATTATTCAAAAATTGATTATCAACAACAAAAACAATGTCGTCATTGGTTTTGTTTGAATCGACAACAAAATCATGATGAAATCAATGATGCAACAGCCAATAACAACAACAACAAATTCAATAATCTTGATTCAAATATATTGATTGTATCACGTTTGAATGGAACATGTTCAATATTGAAACAACAACAACAACAATCGGATATTATTGATCAATCAATCAATTATGATCAATATTCATCAATGTTTATCGATAAATTTTATCAAAATTTTTGGACATTCAATACTGAAATGGATGAATTTTCACGTTATAATTTGATTTCATTGGAAATTTCGAAAAAAATTGAAAAATTGATTTTACAAGAACGAACAACAAAATATCATGAATCAATACCAACATCATTGATCAATTTAAATCGAATGAATAATGATGATTTATCAACAAATGAACAATTTAGGATAAAATATTTACCATCAATTATACAGCCAGATATTGCAATACCATTATCGGATAATTGTTTATTGAAAAAAACAACCGAACAATTAGCATTGGAATTATTTTCAACACTTGTATCATTGACACATTCACATTTATTAGGAATGAAAATAGATAATAAATTGGATAATAATAATCATTTAACAAATTTATTAACAAAAAATCTATTACCCGAAGAATATAATCAAGTTTGTCGTTTTGAAGAATATGGTAGTGGTTGGAGTTATCCATCAAATACTATTGAAGCTATTCGTTTTTCAACCGATTGTGATATTATATTTGGTGGTATTGGTTTATATGGTGGTCGTGGTGAATATAATGTACAAATACGTATTTATGATATTGGTTTTGATTCAAGTGAAATTGAACGTGATGGTGATCTATTAAGTGAAACTGATATTATACATTATGAATGTTTACCAAGACAAAAATATCAAATATTTTTTGATGAACCATTATTAATATATGCAAATCGTTGGTATGTTATTTGTGCAGCTATAAATGGTAGTAATTCGGATTGTGGTTCAAATGGTCAATCATTTGTTTGTACAAATGATCAGATTATGTTTCATTTTAAAACATCAAAATTATCAAATAATGGTACGGATGTTAATTCTGGTCAAATACCAACAATATTTTATAAACAATTAGAATCAAATGAATTATCATTATCATCATCATCATATCAATATGGTACAAATAATTTATTAAATTTTCCAACATTAAATATTGATGATGAAGGATCACCATTTACAGTATCGAAAGATTTTGTTATACAAATTAATTCAAAATGTTTAAATTCAATTATTTTAATTATTGAATATGTTTGGAATTTATTACAAAATTCATCATTATTACATCAAACAAAATTTGATGAAATTTTTGAATGTTTTGATGATGAAAAAATACTTGAAAAATTAGATAATATTATTGATCAAATTCGTCGATATCTTTTTATATCTTGTTTTGGTTTTGAATTATTACGTATTTATGTACGATTGATAATGCCCTTAACAACAACAAATCCAGATAATAATCAAGATTGTTTTCGATTTTCAATGAAAAAATCATCAATTTTCAATAATACAGATATTGATCAACAACAACAGAAATTTTCAAATTCAAATTATCGATCAGATGAATTGAAAAATATTGCACAATCATTATATGATTGTTGTCAATTATTGACAAATATTCTTCAAAATCCAATTCATTTAACGAAATATTTAATGAAAAAAATTCATCATCAACGACAGCAACTACAACAACCAACAAATATCAATAAAAATCATATCAGAATACAGGAAAAATTATCCACATTAAATCGAATGGAAATATTTTTTCAAAATGAATGTTATCAAACATTTCAATCATGTTCAACGGCATTCTATCCAACCGGTCAACTTAAATGGAGTATATTATGTCAATTACTTTCTCAACAATCATCAACATCAAGTGATCATCATCAATCATTAATATCATTATTTTCAAATGAACAACTTTATCTATTATCAGCAATAGCAAAATCATTCAATATTGATTCAATTCGATTAACATCATTTTTTCCAATATCATTTGGTTCATTAAATGAATCATATCGAATTGATTCAAAAACAATAGATTACGATAAAATGGATTTAAATTATCAAAAAATTTCAGATAAATTAACAAATTTATATTCATTTCAATCAAATTTTAAAATTGATCCAGATTTTAATTGTAAATTTATTTATGAAAAAATGTTAAATATTTTAATCAAACCATTACTTGCAATGATTGAATCATTTGAAAATGATGAATTGGAAAATAATACAACAAAAAACATGGCTACAACAACAAAAGTAAATCATTTACCATCATTGAATAATTATTATAAACAGTTAAATGATTGTTGTATAAATGATAATCATCATCATAATTCATCAACGTCATCATCATCATCATCATCAAATTCATTGTCATCAAGTTCATCATCATCATCATCATTATTAAATCAAATTAATCAGGGAATTTCGGGAAATGAGAATCATTTTTTCGACAATAAATATCATCTAACTAATACATCTATTATGATGGATCCATTGGAAACAGCATCAGCAGAAGCTGTTGATAATCATCATAATGATGAACAACCACAACAACAACAACAACAACAAAATATTTATGAACAAAAATTAATCAATTCTATATGTGATTTATTGTTAAAATTTATTGGTGAATTTCATGCCTGTACAATTGGTTTGATTAATATGGATGAAACGATGGGTAATGAAAGAAAAAATTTATTTCATACACAAAATGAATTAGTAACACCATCAAGATTTTGTCGAAGATCATCAACAAAATGTTGGAATACTGGATCTGGATCACCGGAAGCTATTTGTTTTTCAATAAATAAATCAGATATTTATATATCTGGTATTCGTGTTTATTCATCTACTGTTCAACAATTTAAATATCAATTACAATTATTAGATCAAGCATTCGATGATAATCGTATAGAAAAAAATAATTTTAAATGGAAAAAAATTACAACAATATCCGGTATTTATTATCAAGATGATAATCATTGTAATAATCGTTTGAATAATGATTTATGTGACATACGTTTCGATCGACCAATATCGATTCAACCGAATATAAAATATGCAATAGTTTTTAAAAATTATAGTCAATATTCATATAGTGGTGATATGGGACAAGCACAAGTTCATTGTGATGATGATATTATTTTTACATTTATGGATTGTTCATTAAGTAAAAATGGAACAAATCTAAATCGTGGTCAAATACCACAGATATTGTATTATAATTTACCATCGTCATCATCATCGACATCAACATTTAAACATCAACAATTATCAACAACAACAACAACAACAGCAAATAATTTTTCTACATTCAATTCGATTGAAGCACATAAAAGTATTATTGAAATGTTTCAAATGGCAATCGATTATGGTAAAGAATTATTGAAAAATTTAATTGAAAAAATTGAATCAAAAATTTCAAAAGAATCAATTATCAATAATCAACGTCAACATCCAACAACAACAACAACAACTATCGAATCAAATGATATTAGTTGTTCAGATGATAATAGTTCGGATAATACAACAACAACAACGACGACGACCGCAACAACAACAACATTTATTGATTTGAAAATTTTAACAATTTTATATCAAACATTTGATTCGATTTTTTTCCGTGAATTTTTACCAATATTTATGATTTATATGAAAATGTTGAAATTTGTTCCTAGCCATTTACATACGTTGGCCATATCGTTACGTAATCTAATCGAATTGATTTCACGACTAAATCGTTTAATATATGATCATTATTATTTGGGTCGTCGAAATTCATTGGAATCAGAAACTAAAATTTATGCCAAAGATAAAATTCATCATATAATTGTTGAATCTGATCATCCATATAAATCGGCTAATGTAACAAGTCATACGATTCGTTTTCCATCAAACATAAAATTTATGACCATAGAATTTGATCGAAAATGTTGTACAGCACAACCGGAAGATTATCTTGAGGTAAGTACACTGTTGTTGTTATTTCAGTTTTTTTTAAATAATAATTTTTGTTATTTTTCCAACAAAAAAAAAATCAAGATTTACCTGCCACAAGAATATCTTAAAAATTTTAATATTTTTAATTTTGATTCAAAAAATAATGATAATTATCATCATCGATCATCAACAAATCGTTTATTATCACCAATTTATCATCGTTTTAGTTGTCAAAATTTTCATGAAAATTTAAATATGAATGATAAAATTGAACAATCAAAATTATTATCATCATCATCATATTCGAATAAAATTAGTAAAAATGGTTCTCGATGTATTTTTATACCGGGTAATGAAATGACATTAATGTTGAAAACATCATCCGATTATGTACATTCATCAAATATTGATTCACGTTATGGTTTTAAAGCTGAAATAATTGGTTATGAATTTCCTAAAATAAAATCTTTGGCTAATGATTTGAAAAATTTTGATCAAGATAAAATATTATATTATATTGATAATATGATTCAAATGTTTGAATTGAATATAATCAATTTATTTGGTTTAATTATTGATGAATTATTGAATTGTAAACCAATGGATATAATGTTGGAAAATTCTCAATTAACTAAACAATATGAAAAATATACCGTCTCGGATTTAAAAATAGCTGAAAAAATTTTCGATAATAATATCAATTTACTTGAAAAAGGTTTTGAATTTGATTCAACATTATTAATGAATAAAATTCAAACAATCAATGATCTTTTCAATGAAATTCATCAACCAAATATTCATCCATTTTTAGATGATTTTATTGAATTAAATTCAGAAACATCTGGTGCAAGATTAGCATTATGGTTACAGAATGATGCATTTATTATGCCAAATTCTTCACTGATAAATGTTATAGCTAATAATGATAATAATGATTATTGTCATAAATGTTATCAATTATTATTGGAAATGAATTCTTTGAATATTATGAAAAAATTATGTCATCATTGTAATTATCAATTATTTGTTAAATCAATTTCATCACAATCAAATAATCAACATAATCAATATAATACAAAAATTGGTGAAAAAATTCTAATCAAAATTGTTACACGTGATCAACATGAAGAAATTGTTTATGATTTGAATGCTTGCATTGTAATTCAAATTAATTTTATTTCATTCAATTCATCGCCATCATCATCATCTTTTGATTATACAAATTTTTCGACAAAAGAATCACAAATTTCACAAATCATTTCAAAATATCCATATCAAATTATTGTTAAAGATAAAACACGTTATCATTCAATAACAATGATGAAAATTTATGAAAATTATTCATTAGAAGAATTACGATTAGAATGTCCAATTGAATTGTTTCAACCGGAAAGATTTAAACATGATAAAGATTATAAATCTTTTAATACTTTAGATAAAATATCAACAACGATATTATCACAATCATTTGAAAATGGATATTATTTGGCTAGTTGGACACCAACATCAATCGGATCATATCGAATTGAATTTACTGTTGATGATGAAAAAAGTGAAAATTTTATCATTTTGAATGTGAATAATTCAAAATTTGCTAATAAAAAACAACAAATTAATAATCATCATAATCAATTGAATGATAATTCTTCGAGGTTCATGAAAAATTCACAACAAAATTATCCAATGAAACATTTAATAAGAAAATTTATCTGTTCAGATAGTGCTGGTTTACGTATTCGTTCATTACCATCATTACAATCTGAACAGATTGGTATTGTTCAAGTGAATGGTTTGTTAACAATAATTGATCAATCTGAAAATGATGATGGTATTTGGGTACGATTATCAAATGAAAGTATACAAGCATATTCAACATCCAATACAATATCTATTGATAATAATACAATTCATAATAATGTTACTGTTGTCGATGATGGTGGTGGTGGTGGTCAATTACTTTGTAATCAATTATCAAATAATAATAATCCAAAAGATTTTTTCATAATTGATAATTTTCAAGAATCAAATCCCATTGATACGATACGAATATCTTCATTAGATTGCAAACAACAACTTACGGATAATTTAATGAAACAATCATTAACATTTACATTACGTACAGAAGCATGGGCATTACAATTTAATAAACATTTTAATCGTCAATTATTAGTGGCTATTGATTCGGATGATAATAATAAACTAAATAATAATGATAATAATCATTTATTTAATATTAATGATTATGATTATGATTATGAAGATGGTGATGATAATATTGATAATATTGATGATAATAATGATGAAGATGTGAATAAGCAAAAAAATTTATCAATCGAATCATCATTAATTGTACCCGGTTGGTTTCAGATAATTCATATTGATAATGATGATAATGATGGTCATCATCCTATTCGAAATTGGCCATCATTAGATGATGTATCGATTATTATCGGTTCAATACCATTAAACGATATTATTTATGCTATTGAAATTGTTCGCAATGAATTTGGTTATTGGATACGTTTATCACAGGAATCATTAAATTCTTATATTAATCTAATGTATAGATCATCATCATCATTGTTTGATAATAATTTTGAAGGTTGGATATTATTACAAAATCTAAATGGTATGATTTATTTACAAAATATTCAACAAAATTATCTATGTTCAACAATCATGGATAATGATCATCAACATAATAATAATAATATTAATAATAATAATCGATATATTGATACAACTAAAAGAGATTTACCAATAAAAATGGCCATTTCAAATCGTTCAGCACAATGTATACGTGCTATGTTTGCTGCATTTATATGGCATGAAGGAATTCTTAATGATTTTTTAACCGCTGCATCTTATCTAAAATTTAATGCTGATATTACAAAAGATTCGATACAACAATCAAACAATGATTTTGACAAAAACAATTTCAATCATTTTCAACAAAAAAATTCAACAAAAATTCGTGAAACAATTCGTGAAAAAAATATTAATCATCATCATCATCATCATCGTCGTCAACAGAAAATAAATTATCGTCATTCGGTTGAAGTTAGTCAATTGATGGGAATGTATAATAGAATATCGGATGAAAATTCAAATGTTAATTTTTTTGAAAATAATAATAATAATAATAATAATAATCAAATTGAAAATTCGATTGATGATAATGAAAATCATCATTTAAATTCGGATGAAATAATTCTCCAAAATACGGCTGATGATGATGATGATGATGATCCACAATCGGGTAATACCGTACCTGAAATTCTTATAAATCTTTTACAAATTTGGGAATTTGTTTCCACAGAATGTTTACGACAAATTTCCGTTATACGTAATCTTAAACGCAACGATACAACAATGATGACAACAAAATTAACCGAATTAAAATTATTGGTAAATAATGATGATGAAAAACCTAATGATGATGATGATAATGATGATAAATGTTGTGATGAAACTTGTAATAATCAACAAACATTTTCGAAACAACAATCTAGTGGACAATCATGTGATCTACTCATTACTACTGATGATACTAATGCCCGAAATCAACAACAACAACAACAATGTGAATGTGATAAATCTATTATCGATTCTATTGATTTTATTAAAAATTCACAAAATGAATGTGATCAAAATCAATCGATTGTTTGGCAATCAATATCAATGATGACCGATAATTTATATCAATCAATAATGGCAAATGTACGTTTTTTACTTTCAATTACACCATCAAAATTGATTCGTGATTCATCATCAGTAACAACAATGACTATGAATAAAAATTCATTAACAACAGAAATTTTGAATCAAAATCTATTCGATCCATTTATTATATCTGATTTGGATAATGTTTTTCCCATTCATTTACTTCATAATCTTGGTATAAGAAAATCTGTTTATGAACAACAATTAGCTGAAGAACGACTATCAGATTTAGCAACATTATGTGATGATTATCAACATTTACTTTCACCGGATATTATTCATAATGATGATTTTAATATAGCTAACAATAATGATGATGATCATTATCGACAAACGCAAACGCAAATGAAAAAGAAAAAATCGATAAAATTTTATCGTTCAATATCGGTCGGTATGAATGATCAAGATAGTCATATAGATGGGCTGAATATTTATAATTTTTTATCAAAACCATCAACTAATAATAATGATTCATCATCAACAAATCCGATTAAAACAAAAAAATCAATTAAAAGTAATGAAACATTATATCAAGATTCAAAACAAAAAATTAATACAATGCCATTTTTATGTAAACCATCAACAACATTAATCGATTTGATTAAAAAATTTCAATCAAAATTTGATAATGAACAACAACAATCACAATCAATTTGTTCGGATGTTATGAAATTTATATTTTCTTGTAAAAATATTAATATTTATGATTTATTAGTAAAATGTTCAATATGTTCATCGGCATATCGTTCATTAGCTCTCAATATAATCAATTGGTTATTGATTAATTCATCGAATTTGCATTCAATTCAAGATCTAATGTGGATATTTGTCAATTCTTTATTACCTAAAGATGATTTGGATCATCAAAATGATGATACAATTATTGATAAAGATGGAAAATGTTTTAAACAAAATAAAAACATTTCGGATGTTTGTCGACATCCATTTAATAATTTAAAAATGGCTGGTGAATTAGCTGATCATTGGGTAACCGAATCATTACATCGTTTGATGAGAACAATTTCAAATCTATTACCATTATTACCAATGGGATCACCATTACAACTTATGGCAATAAGATGTTTTGGTATGGAATTTACATCTATTGATCATAATTTTCTACATGAATGTAAAGTATTTTCACATATATCAACCATACTAACACATTCATCAATAGAAATAGATAATAATAATTTCCATTCGGATAAAGCAAAAGCAAATGTTTCATCTTCGTGTTCGAAACAACAACAACCAGATCAAACGCAAATAGTAATGATAACAGAAGATTTAACACAAATGTTTGATTTACATACATCTAGCCGACAATCAATGATATCAAGTCTTAATGATAATTCTACTGAAACATTTTGGGAAAGTGGTAATGAAGATCGTAATAAAATTAAATATATTCGAATTCAGCGAAATGTTAATTATTTGAAATCATCTTCAAATGATACTAATAATAATCTACGATTTATTTGTATTTATGTGGATAATACTCGTGATCTAGAATATCGTATCAGTCATATTTCATGGAAAATATGTGGTGATAAAATATCTGATTGTTCATCATCATCATCATTTATTCGTAATAATTGTCCAGAATCGAAAAATTTCCTTACAAAATTTAATGAATATGAAAAACTTCGAACAATTGAAGTGGATACAAAATTTTGTGGTTGGCTTCATTGTGAACTTAGTTCAAAACAAAGTTTGGATCTTTGTACGACTAATGATCATTATATTCTTATCGAAATGACTGGACCATTTCCATGTTTACGTGTACGACAGGTAAAAATATTGGCTAATGATATTGATGGATCGTCGTTTGAATCATCATTATCAAATCGTTTTATGATTTTGAATTCTAAACAAGTTCAAATTGCACATTGTGAATCGGAAACATTGCGAGTATTTCGTTTGCTCACTTCACAGGTTTTCGGAAAATTATTATCATCAAATGATTGTCAATCACTGAATAATGAAAACAATCATAATCTGAATGGCAAAAAACGTACATCATTATATTCGAATAATGATAATAATTTACGTGAACATATGGTCGGTATATTATTTTCACAATCAGGAAAATTATCCGAATTACAACGTCAAGTTTGTACACATATTGTCAATGAAATACATTATGAATCACGTCGTGTTTATGAAGAATGGGAAACAATGTTATTATTGTTATCATCATCAAATGAAAATCAAAAAAATTATGAAACGGAAGAAATTGATGATACGACAATAATACCGAATGATTTTTATTGTTTTGAATTATTATCATTATTATTGGCATTGAGTGGTTCAAATGTTGGCCAAGAATATTTATCCGAACAAATAGAATTATTGAATGATATTCTTACATTATTACATACTAGTTCAGATCGTGTAAAACGTCAAATTTTATCATTAATACGACGTGTTATTTCACGAATACGACCAGAAACTTTTTCAAAATTATTCATTTCAATTTTAAATGATGAATCATTAAAAATAATGGACGATGGCTTAAATGCAAATAATAATAATAATCATCGTTACATCACAGGCATTATAGATATATTTTTAACCTGTATTGCAAAATCCTTAACCGTACAGATCAAAACAAAAGGAAATAGATCATCATCATCATCATCTCGGATTCAGCAATCATCAATTTATCGAATAAATTCCATCTATAATGATGATAATTATGATGTTAGTATACGACAACAACATAAACAATGGTTAAAAGGAAATCAAAGCAAACAAATTGGACAATCAATTATTTTATTTATTAAAGATATGTGTGATGGAAAATTTGGTGAAAAATGGTGTGAAATTGCACGTTATAGTTTGATGGAAAATATTTTAAAATTAACCGAATTGGATGAAAATATTCGAAATTCGGATAAATGTATACATTCATCGATATTATGGATGGCATTAGCATCATTATGTGTAATTGATGAAAAAGATGTGGAAAAATTATCGATAAATAATCAATGTAAACATAATCATGATAAAGTTAATGGAAATTCTGTACAAGTAAGTGATGATATGAAAAAAAACGAATTAATAAAATTTTCATTTTGATCATCATTTAGAATTACTGTGATAATCATGATGATGGTGAAACAATCGCTTCCATTCAATGTAATATCTGTGGTCATCTTTGTATTGATTGTGATCGATTTTTACATCTGAATGTAGCAAAAACACGTAATCATAAACGTCATGTACGTTAATTTTGTTTGCAATTATTATTATCTTTTGATAACTTTATTTTATTTATTAATGAATTCTAAAATAGATGTTCAAAGAGGATTGTGATTCAATAAAAGTAGATATTCACGAAGGATGTGGCCGAATTAAATTTTTTCGTTCATCATTAATAGTGGCTGATTCAAAATCATTAAAAATTATGATTGAATTTCGACAGAATAATTATCGATCTGAACACAACAATAACAATAATCAAACATTTGATGAAAATTTACATTTGAATGATAATCGACAAAAGATTTGTCGATTCTGTGGTCTTAACGATGATCAGATGATGATTGATGGTGAAAATATTTGTAAAAATGATGATTGTCAACGTCATGCTTTACAAGCATGTAATCGTACATTAAATTGTGGACATTTTTGTTGCGGGATTCGTGCGGAATCACCTTGTTTGCCTTGTTTGAATGGATGTACAAGTAAGTTGGAATTTTATTAAATGAATAATGAAAATAATTTTTTTTACTTTTTTCTACATCTCTTATTTTAAAAGGTGATCTAAAACAAGATGGTGATGATATGTGTATGATTTGTTTTTCCGAATCACTTTTTTCAGCACCTTGTATACAACTTACTTGTAAACATATATTTCATTATGATTGTGTAAAAACTGTATTGGAGAAACGTTGGTCTAATGGTCGTATAACATTTACATTTTCATTATGTCCAATATGTAAAATTCCTATTGATCATCAATCATTATCCGAATTATTACAACCGATACGATTGTTGCATGAAGATGTTCAAAGAAAATCATTAATGAGATTAGAATTTGAAGGTCTTAATCAGTGCGAAGCAATTACAGCACCTAATTCTCGTTTCTATCAAGATCCAGTTGGTTTTGCTATGGAAAGGTCATTATTATCAAAAATTATTTTGATTTATTATTGAATTTAAATTTTTCTCTTTCATTGATTCAGGTATTCTTATTATCTTTGTTTTAAATGTCAAAAAGCCTATTATGGTGGTGAAGCACGTTGTGATATTGAATATGATGGAAATAATCATAATCCACAAGAACTTATTTGTGGTAGCTGTTCGGATGTAACACAGGCACAGATTTGTCCGAAACATGGTACAGATTTCCTGGAATATAAATGTCGTTTTTGTTGTTCCGTAGCCGTTTATTTTTGTTTTGGTTCTACACATTTTTGTGCCGCTTGTCATGATGATTTTCAACGATTGATCTCATTGAAAGAATATCCACAATGTCCAGTTGGACCACATTCAATACCTAGAGATGATTGTGATGAATGTCCATTACATGTAAAACATCCACCAACTGGACAAGAATTTGCACTTGGCTGTGGTATTTGTCGCAATACTCATACATTCTAGTCATCATTCCCTGGTCAAAGACTTTTTAATTAAAATAAAATTTATTTATTGAAAAAAAATGTTAATTAATTTGATTAATTTTCCGATTCTAACCCGGTGCTGCCATCCTTTGCCGAAATTTTTTTAAAATCTAATTACAAAATTAAAATATTTTTAATTAATTCAAATAAAATAAGATAAAATTAAAAGATTCATTCTGGTTTAGATAAGAATAAATTTTTATTGTTCTATTCTAAGTTTGTTTTAAATCATATTCCAAATGATTAACAGAAATAGATTTGTTTTGTTTTGTTTTTTTTTTGTTTCGTCAAACAGCACATTTTAAATGGCTAAATTCTGCTCTTCACGTTTAATATCACGAATTTCTTGTTTATAAACAAAATAATAGCTTGGTATTCTCATTCGCTTTTGAATTTATATTTATAAAAATTGAGAACAAAAAATAAAAAGAGAAAATACGTTATCAGATTATTAGGGTAAATATTGAATGAGTTAATATATAAATACATACAACATCTCGTATAACTTTTTCAGCACCTGAATGTATAAGAATACGTCCCATTTCTTCCATTTTGCTCATTGCCATTGCATAATGTAATGGTGTTCGTCCCAACTTTATTACAAAAAAAAATGATGATCAAATAAATTAGAACATTGAAAATAAAAACAATTTTTTTTTTCTTTCTTACGTACATTATCAGGCATATTGATAACTTGATGATTTGCTTTGATCAATATTTCAATAATATCTAGATTACCAAATAAAACAGCCAAATGTAATGAAGTACGACCATGATTACTTTTAGCAATAACTAATTGCGCATTAATATCAACTAAACCGACGACGCCTTCCAAATAGCCATTACGAATAAATGTATGTAATTCATCTCTCATTCTCTGTTAAAGACAAACAACATTAACAATAATGGGATTTATTATTTTTTATTTTTTTTAGATTTTTAATACCTGTAATTCAGCCGCTTCATGAACAAATGTTTGCATTGAAACAATATTATTTCTATTCAATAATGATATTATATCATTTCCTTCAGAATCAACAACAGTCAATAATGTTGAATAACCTTCTAATAATAATAATTTTAAATAATCACTATCTTCATTAAGAAAACAATCAATAATAAATTGATCAATAATTTGTAGATTATTTTTGATTCCATTTTGTACGGCAATTTCTCTTATCGTACGATATTTTGAATCAAGTTCAGGAACAAGATATTTGGCTTGTTGTAACATTTTATAAAATATGTTACGTTTTTGATCTTTAGCTGCAGCTAAATGTAATACAGTACGTCCATGTTCATCTTTAATTTGTGTAAGATCATAACCAAATGTTGATAAACCATTGGATGAAATTTTTAATTTTGTTGTTTGAGCATTCTGTATACTATCAATAACGCTACCATTTTGTCCTTTTTTTATAACATCCGAATTTTCAATTTCTTGATCAATACTTTCTCGCAGACGAAGTTTTTCATTTTGTAGTGTTTGATTAAATTCATGTTTTAATGTTTCGAATATATGATCATCAACCATTGGTGATTTGGATTCATTCGATATTTTACTATCATTATTATTATTATTGGTATCAAATGTTTCCATTCGTTTCAATATTGGTTTCGTATTATTATCGGTTGATTCAATTATTGTATTATCAACATTATTATTATTATTATTATTATCGGAAACAGTATTGTCCAGTTTATTTGATTCCAATCCCAAATCATTACCATTTATAATTGTCTGTGATTCGGTTTCGTGGTTTCCTTGTACATTTTCATCATTATCAAACATTTGTCTTGGTTCAATTTGAAGAACTTGAACTTCTTTTCCATTTAAATTATCATTGATGATCATTGTTGATTGTTCCGACATTGATAATTTTTGTTCATTCATATCAATACTGGTTGATGATGGTCTTTGTTGTTTTGTATCATCACCATCGGCTGAAGATGGAACCGAACCACTCTCGGGAGTTAGTTCTGTATACACAACCACAACATAAATGAAAAAAAAGAAAAGAAGAAGAAAATTTCAAACATTGTGATGTTATATAAAAAGGAAAAATATAAAATAAAAAACACATACGTGACACGATTTCTGATGTTGGTGGCCGTTCCCAAAGATCAGCTTCATTTTTTTTATCATTATTATCACTACTATATTTGATGAGCAAATCGCGAATCGTCAATTTTCCATTAGTTAAATAGTCAACCGGAGTAAAACCATATCTATCATTTTGTTTTTTATTTGCACCAGCCGTTTCAAGAATTTGATATATATGCTTATCGGGCAAAACTGCCGAATAATGGAATGGTGTTCGTCCATCCTATATCCCATCCAATTGTTGTTTTTATATAAAAAAAATGAAAAATGATATTAAAAAAAAAATTTGTTTTGGTTTTTTTCAAAAGAAAAATTTTATGATTACATTATCTGGACCATCAATTGTTTCGGGAAATTGTGTAATAATATAAAGCAAAATATCAATATGTCCATGTAAAACGGCCAAATGTAATGGTGAATTACCATATTGATCACGACATAATGCAAATCTTTTACGAGTTAATGTTTTTTGTATTTGAACAAAATCACCTTTTACAATTGATTCATGAATTTTTTTAATCTTTTCCATATAATGTGGTACTAAATTAAGAAAATCTTGTACTTGTTTATTATCCGATTTTATATTTAATAAACGATTTCCTTGTCCAGCAATAACAACATGTTCTAAACGTATTAGATCACCATCATCAAGCCAACCATTTATCAATTCGTTTAGGCGATCTTTTCAAAGAAAAAACAAATTAATAAGTTTTTTTTGGGGGGAAATGTTACAATGTCAAACAAACAAACAAACAGAAAAAAAAGACAATGTCCATTTACCATGATTCAAATCAGGAACATTTGCTTTGGCTGAAACTCTTTTCGTTGAATTATCAATCATTTCTTGAAGTTTTTCTTCATTCGAATCTAAATAATCTTTTGTTGTTGTTGTTGTTGTTGTTCAGGAAGAATAAAAATAATGTCAATCCATTATGGTGAATTAAGAAGTTATTTGAAACTTACTTGAATCTTTTATTTCATTCGGTTGTTCTGTTGTTGTTGATTTATTTTTAGATTCGTTTAAAGTTTCTTTTTTATCATCATCATCATTGATTGTTTCGGTAATTTTTGATAAATTTTCATCAACCATTTGATCGGGTATTGATGATGCATTATCATTTTTTTCATCATTTTCATTTCGATTATTAACCGGTACATTATCATCAATATTAGTAATAGTTTTTGTATTATTATCATCATCATCATTTTCATCTTTTTTCAAATTATTCTCATCAATAATTTTCGCATGAACTGTTTCTTCTATCATCATCGATTCTGAAATTATATCAACTTTTTCTTTAATCTCTAGAGTTTTATTAATGTCCAAAATTTTTTCTATCTTGTTTTCATTTTCTCCTTTGGGACCATCATCATCAATATTATTTTTTTGAATTTGTTTTCCAACATCGATCATTGGATTATTTTCCGATTGATTTTGATGATGATGAACATTATCATCATCATTAATTTCCACAGGCAAATTGTGTTGTTGTTGCTGTTGTTGTTCAGTAGAAACAACAACAACAGCAGAATTTTCATGATTTTCTTTTTGTTGTTGATTATCATCATCACTAACATTATCTTTTTTTTGTTTTTCATCGCCAACAACATCAATTTTATTGACCATTTCATTGGTAATGTTTTCATTATCATTCATTTTTTCTTGTTTTTCAAGTGGTTTATTTTCTTTTTCTTCTTCTTCAACTTCATTTTCATCTTCTTCTTTAATAATAGAAATGTTTGCATCTATCGATTCTTTTATATTACGATCATCATCATCATTATTATTAACATTATTATTATCTGATCGTTGTTGTTGTTCATCAATTTTGTTAATATCATTTTCAGAATTTTTATTATTACTATCCGATAGTTCCATTTTCGTATCGTTAACATCACCAGCATCACCATTATTAACATCATCATCAGTTATATCATCAATTTTTGTCCATAAAGATTCACTATCCGGAATTTTTTCACCATCAATTCTAGAATAAATTATGAATGATTCTTTTTGTTGTTCTTGTTGTTGTTGATTTGTTTCTTCTATTGATGAACCTGTCATTTTTAAATCATTTACATTATTATTATTATCATCATTGCTACTACTGTTTTCCTTATTAGAATCAGAATCTTTATTTGATGGAATCGATTCCAATTTTGTTGCTGTTGTTTTATCGATTTCAGAATCACCTTTAACATCATCATCAGGTTCGTTATCATCATCATCGATAATATCTTTTTCTTCAATCATCAATACATTGTTAAAGGCTTGTTGTTGTTGTTTTACGGTTGAACTAATTTCATTTAATAATTCATTTTTATCGTTCGATTGTTGTTGTTGTTGTTCATCATCATCATTATTTCCATCAGTAGCATCAGCAGTTATTACTTGATTTGTCTTTTGGGAATCATCATCAATATTATTATTATCTAATGTTACATCCTTCATATCATTATTATTATTATTGATGCTAAAACAAAAAAAAAGAAGAGAAATAATAATTAATAATTAAATTGTAAATGTAATGATAAAGTAAAGTAAGTCGAAATAGATCAACAACAACAACAACCAAAAAAAAAGTCTATTTAAGTTAAAATAGTAAATTTTTATTTTAATGGTGGTTTCCTTTTTTTTCATAATGGAAATAAATTGAACAGAAAACAACTAAAGTCAGTCAAAAACTAAGTTTTGTTATCTATAGGGAAAATTCCATATTAGTTCTGTGATTCTGTGTGTGTGTGTGTGTGTGTATGGTTAATACTCTTATTTTCGGTTCAATAATAATAACATACAAACCCGAATTACAAAATGAAATGTGAACTTTGTTTTTTTTTTCTTTGGACCAACGAGAAAAAATCCTATTGATATTGATTAGTAGGGCAGTAGATTAATGTAACTTTTTTTGTTTCATTGTCGATTGGCTTTGTCTTATAATGTTATTCAATGTGGTTTGGTGTGTATTTCTTTACTAACCACTGTAGACCAGACATTATAAAACTTTCAAGTCTTTTTGAACAAATCATTTTAGTTTTTTTTACAATTTTTCTTCATTACATTATATAAAAAACAAAGCAAATAAGTTTTAAGTTTTTCTCTTCTTCTTTCAAATGAATGAAAGTAAATCTCTCTCCTTCAATGGTTACGTACGTATAAATGTATCACTTGATTCACTTCTCAAGAATATATTTTTCATTTTATTGTTTCGTTTTGTTGTTGTTGTTGTTGTTTAAAAAGTTAAAACCGCAGTAGTTTCCGAAAAAACTATGAAGTTCTACAACAGAAAACAACAAAAAAGAAAGAAATTTAAAGACAATCATAATGTATTTGAGTAAAGAGAGAGAGAGAGAGAGAGAGAATATTCTTGAATGACCATCATCATCATCATCTTAATAAAGAAAAACAGTCATAAAAATTCTAATTCCACTTATACTGATTATTGAGTGATAAATTTATTTTGTTTTATGTCTTATGGTCCGTTTTTGTTTTTCGTATTCAAATGAATTTCTTTGAATTCACATATGTATTTTAGATTTGTAATCTTTTTTCTTATAAAATCCATTTCAAATGAAATAAAATCGAAAATATAAATCAATCAATCCAAGAGAGAGAGAAAGGGGGAAAGAGAAAGTTTAGTTCATATGAATTTATAAAGAAAGAAAAAGAGAAAGAAAAACTTTCAATCGAATAACAGCAAATAATCTTTCTGAACATAATTCATTTGTTGACCAATACGATTTTACGATTTTAAATGGTAAAATCCTATATTTGAAACCGAACCTAATAGTATTATATTTTTGGATTTTTTCTCGATCATATCAATAAAGGGAATGAAAATATAAAAAATACAACTTAAAAATAAAATCCTTGAATACTGTCAATGCAAAATTTCTAGTGAATTGAAACAACAATAGCAAAAATAAAAACAAAAACAAAAACAAAAATGAAATCGATTTCTTTGAAACAAACTGCTGTTCCATATAAATAAACAATTTACCTTTGTACGGCGGCGGCGGCGGTGTTAGGGGTGGTGGTGATTTTTTCATCCTTCTTATCATCAACCACATCAACATTATCTTCTTTATCATTATTTTGTTCTAATTTTGAATTCAATTTATTTGGTAATGCAGGTAAACGACTTGGTTTAGCACCTAATCGTTTTGCTGATGATGATGTTGTTGTTGTTGATGTTGTTGATGATGATGATGATGATAGTAAAACATTTGTATTACTACTACCAGCAGGTGAATTGGTCACGTTTGATGTTGTAGATGTTTTAGATAATTTTCCTAATGTTCGTGAATTATTTGCTGGTAATATTGTTGTTGTTGTATTCGATGTTGATGATAATGATAATAATTCTTGTAATTCATTCGAATCAATTGCCTGATTATTACGTAAATAATGTTCAGCAGTTTTTCCTTTTTGATCAATTGATTTTGAATCAAAACCAATTTCTAACAGACGACGATAGATGTCACCATTACCAGATAATGCAGCTAAATGTAATGCATTACGATTCAACTAAAAACGAGAGAGAGAGAGGGAAAAATGAAAAATTTGAAAAAATTAAATGAAATCAAAATTTAATTTAATTCAGAAAATATAAAAATCGAAAAAACATTTCTCAAATCAATGTAATTGAATGGAATTTATTTTTAGAATTAAGAATTGATTGATTGATTACATAATCAGAAAACAAAAACGATAACAAACAAACAAACAAACAAACAAGACAAGAACAGAAATTTTTCCAATATCAAAAAAACGTTTAAATAATCATAATAATAATAATGATAATAATTCACATTCAATAAAGATAAATTGATTCTATAATGAAAAAGAATGTTATGTAATGTTTTTTAATGTAATGTTATGTAATGTAATGGATTTTGTAATGGAGTAAAACAAAACAAAACAAAACAAAACAAAACAAAACAAAACAAAACAAAACAAACAAAACCTGCCCTATACATGTAAAAGAAAAATGTTAACACAAAAAGACAAAACAGAAAACATTAATTGCTTTGGAGCAAGAAAAAAGAAAAATTATCCATTACATTAATAATGACAATAATTTTGTTTCTTTTCTTTTTGTTCAAAAATTCAGAAAAATGAAAATGAAAATTATGATTGATTGAATGATTGAATGTGAACACCAAGAAAACCATTCCATCTATCAAGAATATACCCAAGAATATGATCGATACACGCACACAAATAAACAGAAGATAATCAAAAACAGAAAATTCAAATTCAGTTTATCAAAGATTTTTCTTCTTTGTTTCAAACATCATTAACACCAGCAACAACAACTTTATCATTTGAAAATTACTTTTTTCTTTTTGATTAAATAATTACACATTTTTTTTGCAGCCAATGACAAAAATACTATCCAGAAAAAAACAAGCAAACAACAACAAGAACAAGAACGTTAAAGATCTATTTGACAAATTGACATTTGATTTAATGAGTGGTGAAGAATGTCTTCTTTTTTTTTTGGTTTTCCTTGGACGTCTTCAACAGTAAAATGAGAAAGAAGAAAAATCCCAAAAGAAATTCCACTTTACAATAGAGTCTATATGGTGAAACAAAAAACTTTTATGCCAGACACTGTGTGCACACAACATGTTGCGATTGATTGATTGATTGATTGATCGAATGACAAATTTTTTTTTTGTTTGTTCCAGAAAAAAAACTTTCACTAGCCAAAAATCTAGTCGTCGTCACACACTTAAATACCAGGTCACCATAGAAACATATCCAGTCAAAACAACAACAACAACAACAAAAAAAACTTTTCATTTTCGATTATCGAAATTTCTAATATTGATTCTGTGGAAGAAAAAAAATGAATCTTCTGAATCTTCTGAATCGATCTCTCCCTCTCTCTCTCTCCCTTTCTGTATTGAACACTTTGAAACCCAAGAATAAGAAAAAAAAACAATTTCAAAAAAACTACGTAATAATAATCATCAATCGACACATCTTATCGTTCGCATTGTGATGAAATTTGGCAAAAAATGAAAATGGAAAAAATTCCTGTGAATAAAATAAAAACAAGCAAGAAGAATGATGAAACCCCCCCCAAAAAAAAAAGAAAAAAGAAAAGAATCTTTTCAGGAA